ATTTTTACTCAGAGTTTCACGCTATGCGATAGGTCAGTTATCACAATGTTCAATTGATGCTGTGTGACGCCATGAGTATATGAACTGGTACCTTTATGGTGGTTATGGTCCGAAGTCAGGACAAAAGTTAGCTGGAAAAATGAATGCGCGTTAGCAATGTTTAGGTGATGATACTGTTTAATAAACGTCATGTGACACGTTAGTTATCCACATGCATGCTGTATTATACTGTTCATTAGACACTGCATAGTATTATTGTACTTTTCAATAGATATTCTTAATTTTAATACTGTTTTAATGATACTGTGTGACGTAACTCAAAAATATATTTTCTGATCAGGATGGACAGAGTAAAATATATAATGGGCGTATAGCTCGAGAGTGATTGATATAGATTACACAATCATTGATATCAAAAGCCGAGAACTTTTATTTTGCGACTAAAAAAATAACCTTGCTAAGCAAGGTGACATAAGCCCACCAGCAGCTTTGATTGCAAGTACAAATCATTGTTTGTATCCTGTACAGTGAGCATGAGCCAATTGTGAACAGACGAACAGATGACAATATGCAGTATGTAGTGTGTGTAGTCAGAAACTCTATAGACTCTCATCTGGTGTCTTACAGCTTTTATGACAATTATCAACAAGACTAAGATCAAACAATATCTTTAATTTATTCTATTCTCCGAAGGAGCAAATGAACGTCATAATAAATTTGATATGGAATCCATGTCATGTTTCATTTTTGCAAACTATTAGTGATATTCAACACCGATTGCTTATTCAATCTAAACCTTGCTTTAAATTCCTCCTCCGAAAACCATGTGAAAGGGTCCAGGCGATCCCTGACATATTGATGGCAATAACACGGTTTATTTCACCAAGTTCATCTATATCGTCGAAATAATCGTCCATTTTGAAACATCGAAGAGCCACAAAAGGAATTTCTACTATTTACAAATAGGATTAAAAGTTAAAACTGGTCTCGACTAACTTTAAGTTTAGCATTAAATTAGCCAATTATTTAATACATTTAAGGTTATTCTATGTGGTTCATACAAAATATAGAAGTTAATGTTATTCGGGCAGAATAGAATTAAATTAGGCTCAATTTCATTTGGTGCATACGGGCCAATGTGTGACATTATAATATTGTTTTCTAGATGCGGTGTAACATCCTTACTGTTCAATAGATAATGTGTGACATTATAATACTTTTCAATAGATACTGTTTGATATTATAACTGTTCAATAACATTGAGAGATATTATTATACTATTCAATAGATTCTGTATAGCCGCGTTTAGACAGCCACAATTTATCCGGGCCAGGTCCGGACTCGGTCCGGTTCGGCACAAAAAGTGGCTGTGTAAACGGGTTGAGAGGGCTCGGCACCGTGCTAGTTTCAAGTGGGCCGAGTCCCGCAAGAAGAGGTGGTCTCTGTCCGGACCGAGAACGGCACGGCAAAATATTAGTGCTGTGTAAACGCTCCACTGGGCCGGGCCAACTTGGCCCACTTAGCCGGAGGCTTGTGCGCATGCGCAATAATGACCCTTGACCCTGTTACGTTATTCGCGGGAACAACAAATTAGGCTAAACTTTGACCGAAGCTCTGATCGCTATTTGGGGTGACGAGATCGTCCAAGTTCAATTGGAAAGTGCCCGTCATAATCACAAGATTTGTGAATCAATCGCCAAGAGCCTGCAAGTAAAGCACTTCGAAGATAGAGATGGCAAACAGTGCACGCAAAAATGCACTTTCATTGCTGTGTGTCTCAAAAAAAAAATTGGAGATTCTTAAGGTTCGTTTGCGCTTTAAACGAGACAAATTCAACAAAAACTTCAAAATCATAGCTTTGTTTATAGCGGGCGCCATTTTGTATGTTCGTGTTTTTTTCGCCTCCTCTGACTGGAGAGCAGGTCTACTTTTGATTTTGGCCCAGTGAAAACAGTGCTGTGTAAACGGTACAGGCCAACCGGGTACGGTTCACTCCAAGTGGGCCAGTTTTTATGGCTGTCTAAACGCGGCTTATGACTTCAAAGTATAAATTACCTTACATATACTAATTATAATAATAATAAATAATAATGAATATCACAAGCACAATTCGTCTAGTTCAAATCAAACCTATAATAGACATATATTCATGAATGTTAATAAATATGTCATCATTTATAAGCAGACGCATGACCAGATACTCATTAGACAGCTCAGCAGTGTGATTAGCTCATTAACATTCTAATCAAAGCTTTTTCTTTATAAACCCCGTCAAAAATCAGCAGACACATACAAGCTCTTTCTAGAGCTTAGATCGGTGCTAAGGTAAGTTATGCTTCTTATAATACTGGGGCTTGTTTCTCGAAACAGTCTTTTAGTAGTCTATTTTGGGGTGTATCTCAAAGCAATCCTTATTTATAGTGTAGTTCTAAACTTGGCATTTTAAGGACAGCGTTAAAGGTTGCACCAGACCTGTCCTTAACCATGCGCTAAACCGTTTCTGTCAATTCACTTATCAAAATGTCGTCATTGGAGCATCTTCTACTTCCTGGTTAATTTGAACGACTTCATTGGAGTCAAATCCCTCTGTGATTTCCTCTATTGCAGTGTACCCAATTAATAACCGCAATTGCCTCCTCTTCGTTTGCAGACTCAAAATCAGCTCTGCCCCCACCCGTTTTTCTTCATTTCTATTCGCCTTTTCCCTTTGATTTAGTTTTTTGATTTTATTTCTTGCCATTTCTTTTTTATTTCTGGAACCGTTCTCACAGCACTTAGAGTTAGACTGTTGACTGCCAAATGTACCATATCCCATGCTTTTTTCTTCTTTTGCAGTGTGACAGAGTCACAAAATTTACTGGTGATAATGTCTTTATGTTTTTCAAATTCCGCAATTAAAACTGAGCATTCTTCTTCAGAAAACCTACTTTTCCTTGATTTATCCTTTCCAGACATGTTTCATTGTCAAACTATGCAGGCAAATTCGGTGGAATCTAAATGTCTCGTAATTATGTTCTTGACAAAAGGTCACCAAAATGACAGTGGACATGACTGGCAATTGGTTACTCGTTAATCGAGTGCGAATTTCACATAAAAATCGAGGTAACTAGGGGAATCTCACACACCTTAACATATCTTTAATTTAAGGACTATTCAATTTAAGGACAGGTTAAAGAATGCTCTCTGATACAGTCAATTCTTTTTAAAGACTGGTTCTTAACCTGTCGCTAACCTGTCCTTAACCGCAAAATTTAGGAATGCTTCGGGAAACAAGCCCCAGATCTTTTTTTTTACTCTAATTTAAAATCACTATTGAATGTTCTTTATCAGGCAGTTTTTTTAATAGGTTGAAAACTATAGATAAAAAAATGATATGATCTTATCTGAAAGTTTTTGTAACTAAAAAAAAAAAATTCTACCGTTAATGTTTTAACCCAAAACTATTTATGAAAACATTTTTTTTTAAATTGTGCATACTGCTCCTGTTAGTAAAATTAACGCCAACAAAATAACTTGACAATTTTTACATTTAGAAGTAGATAGAACATTAAATAAGAAACACTATTATGGATATACTACTCCTTCCTTTAATTCCTCTATGTGAATTGAAACGTTGAAAAAATGAAAGGAAGGAGTAGTATATCCATAATAGTGTTCTTATTTAATTATTTTTTTAGTTAAAACTTTGAGATAAGGCCTAAATTTGAGCAAAAAAGATTTTAAGGTTACATTCAGTGTTAGTGAGGTAATAGCAATTAATTTTTTTTTATAACTATTACTATCTTTTGAGCCTCACAAGGTTTAAACTTTTATTTACACTATCCTGGTTTTCTAGTCTTTATACGTGTATCAGGTACACTTTTAGCTTCTATTTACACCATTCTGATTTTCTAGTCTTTGTATGTGTATCAGAGACACTTATAGCTTCTATTTACACCATTCTGATTTTCTAGTCTTTGTAGGTGTATTAGACACTTATAGCTTCTATTTACACCATTCTGATTTTCTAGTCTTTGTAGGTGTATTAGACACTTATAGCTTATATTTACACTTTTCTGATTTTCTAGTCTTTGTATTTTCATCAGCTTCCTTATAACTTCTGTTTAAACCATTCTGATTTTCTAGTCTTTGTATGTATATCAGAGACACTTATAGCTTCTACTTACACCATTCTGATTTTCTAGTCTTTGTATGTATATCAGAGACACTTATAGCTTCTACTTACACCATTCTGATTTTCTAGTCTTTGTATGTATATCAGAGACACTTATAGCTTCTACTTACACCATTCTGATTTTCTAGTCTTTGTATGTATATCAGAGACACTTTTAGCTTCTACTTACACCATTCTGATTTTCTAGTCTTTATATGTGTATTGGGTACACTTATAGCTTCTACTTACACCATTCTGATTTTCTAGTCTTTGTATGTGTATCAGAGATACTTATAGCTTCTATTTACACCATTCTGATTTTCTAGTCTTTGTATGTGTATCAGAGATACTTATAGCTTCTATTTACACCATTCTGATTTTCTAGTCTTTGTATGTGTATCAGAGACACTTATAGCTTCTGATTAAACCATTCTGATTTTCTAGTCTTTGTATGTGTATCAGAGACACTTATAGCTTCTATTTACATCATTCTGATTTTCTAGTCTTTGTATGTGTATCAGCATACTTATAGTTTCTAATTAAAAACACTCTGATATTGTAACCTTTGTATGGGACACTTATATCTTCTCCTGCTGTGCATTTCCGTTCGACGCCTGTGATTCTTTCATCTTCATAAAAAACTTGAAATTGCACGAATTACTGAATAAAATACATGTTTTTTTTTTTAACTGTGGGTTGCTCCGATTGGCATCAATTATCCGAGGAAATTATTCGTGTTGGATCTAATTTTGACCAAATATCATCAAAAGATGTTCGATTCAAGACTGTTACCAATTAATCGTATTTTATTTTCAGACGATATTAAAGTTCAACTATAACATCCACAATGGCCATAGCTCAACTCGTATACATTGCTGTTCTACTGGTCTTGGTATCCGCAAAGTCCAAAGACAAGTGCTTGGCATCATTTCCACTTGGTTCACCCATTCCCGATAAGGAATTAATGACAGCTTTGTATCTAGCGGACCCGAATTCGGAGCACCCTGCACATAACACTCAAAGCTACGCTACGTGGCTATCTGGAAAACACGACGCTCGAAGAGAATTTGTCAACCTGTGGTTCTACCTCACGCGGATGCTCCTATCCGAAATTGATAAAGTCTATAGGTATTACAAAGCTGTCATGCAAAGTGGATCTAGACCAATGGGCATCGTGGATTTCGATGCTCTCTCCAAAAGATTCGCAAAAGCTTGTTTGAAATGGGACGACGTAACAGACAAATGGCCATATACTTGCTTCGATAAGGAGTTCTTCTGCAATTTGCAATACGGTCTAATTAAACAGAAAGAAGTGGTGGTGTATTCGATCTGGAAGATCAAAGACGGTCGGTACGCCACAGTGGAAACGCTGGAGAAATGGTCCAAGATCTCTAAAATGTCCAGTCTTGGTATCGATGGATACTCAAGATCTAATGCAATTCAATATTACTTTAAAAATGATGTTCTGGAGTTCATTCCCGAATCCGACCAAAAAAATGTCTTCTACCATTCACGACTCGCGTGGGAACCCTTCAAATACCTGATAAATGGACAAAAATCCTTAAAAGATTGGATCAACGACTGGTATTACGTTGCTTTCGAGGTGGTTGAATCTAAAGTCAAGGAAGAGTGTAAAGCGAATTCAGGAAAACCAATCGGTGACAAATACTACTGCGTGGCAAAAGACTATACTGTAAAGATCAGAAAATGTGCAGAATTGACGGACGTCACCCCTTGCTTGTACGACAAAAACATGCAAGACTATTTTTCAAGAGGAAGATTCGGCGAAGATAACGAACTGGATATAATTAATTTTTTGGTTGATAGAACTAAAGCTGTCTTGACGGAGTTCAAGGATAAAGTCGTAGCTAACGATCGTAATGGTCTAAACTCACTTTTCAACAAATACAATCCTTACATTACCGTAGACGACTCCATGTGCGTATTGGAGTGGCCCAAAGCGTTCCAGTGTACCAACAACAAGGGATGTAGAATAAAACTTAAAGTATGGGAATTTGACTGTAATGGTGGATACACCTGTAGAATCAACATGATGTATAGATTTGACTGTTTGCTGAAGTTCGTTCTGAAAAGGACAAAGCCACTTTTGGACGTTTCAGTAGGGGGCAATTGGGGTCTTCCTTCGGTTAAAAAGGCTAAATATGACTTAATGATATGGCTATCATATATGCCAATGGCTCGCTACACTAGTTTAGGCGACAACTACATCAACGATGTCATAATGTCCACACAAAAATCTGTGAATGGATATGTAACCAGCTACGACACTAAGGGACTGAAGACTTTTGCCACCAATTTACCGCCAATGACGTTTGTTCCCCAATGGGCAAAGAATGCCGCATGTCAAAAAGTGAAAGTACCTAAAGAAAACATCGCTTTCTGCAACTTGGATCCTCTTTTAAATAGCGTTTTCCTCTTTATCAATGCCTTTGAAAATGGAAAGCGCTTAACCACAAAGAATCTTAACCCTACTGTGGATTATCAAAAACTCCTGAGTCAGATCCAGCTTGACAGAGTCTCGAATTATATAAATTTAATGACCCAGTCCCTCTTCAATGACCTTACAAGTCAACTGAAAGAAAACTTTGGTGCACTGTCCAACTATTTTTCATCTCTAGCGGACTACGATAAAACCAAGGCTGAAGCAGACATTGGCTACATTGGTGGCCGACTAACAGTGTTCAAAATGAAAATAGAAAGTCTGTCTGTTAAAGTTGTAAAAAAATTCAAGGTTGTCTTTCACTTTTCAGTGGGGATCAATGTCGTCGAGCTGGTTTCTAAAGCTGCTGAGCTCGGTATCGCTATAGCACAAGTCGTTCACCCTGGAAACAAGATACTGGGCGGCTCCAGTATCTTGGATCTCCTGGACACAATCAATGAATTAGCACAAGCAGGAGTGACGACAGCAATTATTGCCCAACTGAATGACAGAGCTTTCCCAGAGTTAATCGAAAAAGCCAGAAATATTGGAAATGGGTTCAAAGACAATGAAAGACAGTTATCTGAAGCTAAAAAATTGATTGACGAACTAAAAGGTGGAAAGGATGCTGTAGCAACTGCAAACAATTTTCTGGGCAAATATAACGCTTACAACCCTAAAGTTCTGAAGTCGGACATTACGTCGTATGGTAAAAAGTGGGAAGTTGTCTCCGATCAACTATGTGAAGCAGCATTTTCGTCAGGAACAGCCGCAGCCGCGTTGGGAGAAATAGGACTAGCTAGCACTGGTGACTGTGTTAAGATAAAAGTAATCATCGCCGAACTAATAACCGTGTACGAAGAGTTATATGATTATCAATTTGACCTTATGGACTCTTTGTCCAATGCTGCTCGAGCTTACCTCGCCTACAAGAAAGCCAACAATCTTAAGCTTATTTATACGTCCGGAGCTCGCGTCGACAAAGCTTTCTTACAACATACTGCTGTCAATACCTTTATGGTATCAACATTGAATATATGGGAAGTTGTTACTGAATACTGCGATATATTAACTTACACCAGGGGTGGAAAGATCCCTGAAAAATGTGTAACAGCTATGAAAACCCCGTCACACAACGCCGTAGCTCAAGTTCTTAGTTATATGCCTGCTGACCTGTGTCAAAGATTCTAATGACAAAGCTTATATAAACCTGGATGCGCTTTACGCCCAAAAGACAGTCATCTTTAAGATACCTGGCTTCCAATGGTTAAAAGACAATGGTTGGGTTGGTCCACAAGACAGAGAAAAGGCCATGTACATCAAACGCTTTGAGCTGTTCCTTACACCTATGTCAGGCTCACAACAACATACTGTTGAACTTAAAGTCGAACCTAGTAATGACAACTACCTTCGATACGGCGGAACTAAGTATCTACTTCCGGTTTCTGGGTACACTGCTAGATACACGGAGAATACTTTCAACTGTTACGGTCAAAAGATCAACAATCCTTATTCTTTGTGCAAAGATGACTTGGTCAAACTATGTATCGCTTCTAATGGCTACATAAATCGTAAAGTCCAACCGTCAATATATAATGAATGGAAGATAACTGCTTCTTCTTTACCAACTGGTCAAATCGCTCCAAAGCCGACAACAGACTTCAAACTTCAGGCTGCTATTACCATGTGCGTGGTAAACCTTGCCCCTTCAGCTACCAAAAGAGAAGTTCCCTCTTTACGAAGTTCATTGAAGAATAAAGCAGCAGAGAAAGTACGACGATCTCCCCAACACTGTTGCGGTTCGAACCAATATTGGACAGGAACCACATGCACTGCTTGTCCTTCCGGTTCTACTCAGCGGCTACATGGTTACTATTGTCAATAAACCAAAACATGTTTGTCCTAAGAAAAAACTAAATACTATTTTTTTTTCTTTTTAATAAATATATTCTACATTTTATTTCCGTATTTTCTTGGCCTAGAAAGTCGCGCACCTTTTTTCAATAATGACTTTATGATGTTTAAAAAAAAAACAAGCACAATACAGATTACTGTGAGTTGTGAAAATCGATTTTGACAGTTTGGGATATGAATATCAACTGACGTTTTTATTTTGGGTAGGTGACATCTACATCTCTTCAACGAGTAGGGTGAATGTAAATATGACGGACAAAGGAGTGACAAGCAGACTTTATTTTCCTATACAAAACGTTAACTATAAGTTGAAGTTCAATCCACAAGAAGAATATACCTATTCAACAATCCATAAGGCAAAAGTCTAATCTCGAAAACCATTATCCATCAATGTATACAATCCCCAGGTCAAAATTCCAAGTACAGTACAAGGGCCAACCAGTTCCTCATCAGAAGAAGGGAGAACCTTTATTTAAAGTGATCAACTTGGAAATCTTTACTGTCAAGAAGTTTCAACGTGCATACACTAAGGATGATAGGCGCCATATTCCATAAACTTAAATGACAACTTTTTCATAGAGGACTAAAGTTGATCAGTATATAACAAAATAAGGCGAGTAATTATTCTCTAATTCAAAATCAAATTAAAAGTAGATTAATAAAAGAAAACAGAAGCAACAACTACAACAGCAACAACAGCAACAACAACTACAACAGCAACAACAGCAGCAACAACTACAACTTCAAAGGCAACAACAAAAATAGCAACAACATCAGTAGCAACAGAACGACAATAACAACAGCAACAACAACAACCGTAACATCAAACTACAACAACAGTAACAAAACAACAACTTCACAGCACCAAAACAACATTAACAACAGCAGTAGCAACGACAACAACAGCAGTCACAATTCAGGCTAACAACAACAACAGCAACAAAATCATCGTTGTTGATGTTCATTTTGTCGAGACTCTAGTTGTTGATGCAGCAACTGTTGCTTTTGTTGTGTGTTGATGCTGCTTTTATTGCTGTTGCTATTCTTGTTAGTGATCTTGTTGCTTTTGTTATTGTTCCTTTCGTTGTTGCTGTTGCTCTTGTTGTTTGTTTCTTTGTTTGTGTTACACAAGAAGATGAAAGAATTATTAATATATTATCTTATCTTCCAATTTTATTCACAACCAAGATCATTTTTAGTATACCATACACCATCTCAATTTAAACATTTCAAATCCTCCCGGCGCATAATAGATTATGTCCCTTAGCTACAACCAAGTCGACAGAGTCCGACACTCCGACAAGACATTTGAGACTTGATATTCGCGAATTGAAAAACACGTTTTTATCACGCAGGCTGCAATAAAAAGTTGGGATGTTTTTATTACATATGAAGAAAAGAAAAAATATTCAACATCTATCG